CAATCTTACTATAAAAATTTTCTATAATCTTTTTCACTACAAATAAATTATCTTTCATAAATAGCCTTCTTTATATAGTAAATATTATATGTGTGTGTAAGATATATCAAGTAGATTATGTAAATTATACATATATAAATATAAATATATGACTATATATATGTAAATAAATATTTACGCTTTCAAAACATACACCTTGTATTTTGTGTTTTTTAATCTGCAATTTAAATGAGAAAAAGTTGAAGATATTCAATATTAGTCTTTTCAATGCAATACTTTCTCTTAAAGCACGCATAAATAATAGACTTTGTAATTTTGTGCTAAATGACATGCGTTATTATAGCCAGATATTGACATTATTAACTGGAGCATTGCTTAAGTAGCCGAGTTCTCGCGAACGTTACGCTAGTTGATGGGGCTCCATCGTAAAATAAACCCTACGTCCCTACGATTGCTGACGGATAAATCTAATTTTCCAAAATAGAATATTTATATGCAATTCTCGAAAATGTTACACATATAAAAATAGAATATATACATCTTTTATAAACTTGATCATTTAATTTATTTATTAGGAGTATGGTAATCTATAATCTATAAAATAAAAAAATAATTTAAAAAATTAAATCATGATAATATTACAAAGAAATAATACTTATTGCTATCTCAATTTGCACGACAAACTTTAATCTGATGATGCTATCAGCACTCCACGCTGCTTTATTCGATTCCTCCGTTATCGATGGGATCGTTAGATGAAATCAATCAGTAGCAGGATTCTCTAAACATCTTAGCGACGATTATCGTTGTCGTTAGCGAGCGATAGCCTATGAGAATTGCGCTTTTTACCAGAATTGTCCTTGCCATTGGCTGTCGCTAGTTAACGATACCGAAAACTGTCGATAACAAGTTACTGAATTCCGCTACAGAAGGAACAAAAATTCTTGAAATTCGCATTCCAAAATCACTTTCACTTTTGATTCTGACCATTTCGCCCATTTCAAACTTTCTTTTTCCGTTTGGGATCGTCTCAATTAGTAAATTTGGGTTCTGATTGGCTGTTTGTAACATACTCACCCGTTGTAAGAGCTCATGGTAACCCTGCAGGAATTCCTCGCATACTTGACACGTAGACAGGGTGCTATCATGTTGGAGAAATCTTGGCTTCCGTAGAGCATACATGCTACGATCGATCAGCTGTAATCGCGACTCACATGGTCGCGGACACGCTCGCATGAGATCTGCCGCACTGCTCGCTTACTCTGAAGTCAGTCGTATCTACGCATACGATAGTCTTTATATTTCTCTTAAATTTTTTTAATTATTTTTTCTTATCATTTTCTTCCTTTTATATTTCTTTTTCTTAGTTCCCTTTCTACTTTCGTTCTATTTTTTTCTAATTTTGTTCTCCTTTTCCTTCTTATTGCTTTTTTCTAATATTTTATCCTGCCTATTTTTCTTTCCTTCTTTTTTCTTCCTATTTCTTGAGAATTTCACTTTATTATATTGTCTATTTATATCTTTTATATTTTTTTCGTTTTATGTATAATTTATATTTTCTCTCTTGTTATTTTTTATAAATGATATTTTTCGTTTCTTCTCCTTTTCTTGTAATTAATTTATATTCAGTAATATATATTTGCGCGTCACGTGGTATCACATAAATCACGCTCACTCTGCAAAGTCATATTCGCACACTGTGTAAAGTCTGTCGCACTCACACTGTGAAGTCTGCACTTTCGCGAACTTTCGAACTTTCTATACAGGGAGGAGTTTGCACTGATCGAGGTTACACAAATGCTCAGGAATCTTTCTCGTTCTTTCTCTTCTATATCTTTAAATCGCGTATCCACCAATTTCTATTAAATTATTTAGAGCGATCTAGCGATTCTAAAAATCACTAAAAGCGGTTTAGCAATTATAAAAATCGCCGGTACAGATGCTCATCTAACTAACATGTGCTCACTCACGTGGCGGAAGAAACTATCTTGCTAACGGGAAGAACAATCTCAAGTGGTCTTTAACGGCGCGGGGAGGGAGGACGAGCTACGAACACACGATTCGAACGCTCGGAGTCCGATTGCAAGACTAATGAGAGAATCGAGCGCGAGGAAAACCCGGATACGAAAATATCGCGCCCCTCCAAAACGGGGACTTTGCTTGCCCCCTTCCTGCATAACTGCTTGTTCTTTTTCTGACGTCACAGGGCACACACGTCATCGAGCAAAGATCCGTACAATGACGGCTTGAGCAAAGTCAGCGACCGTTGCACGTTTCACAGTGCTAAGTTCACTCAAGATCTGATGAGAAGAGCATAAACAAATTTTAATTGCATTTTTATACATTTTGTTTTTCAGCCACACATGTATAATTATGTAATGTTGCTATTTTCTCTCTTTGCTTCATTATTCAATAACGATCCATTAAAATTAATATTAGGTATTTTTTTCAGTAATAATAAAATTAGTAATATTTATATAATAATATATTAATAATAATAATAATAACAATATATAATGATAAAGTTGTGCAGTTTTTCGAAAAACTTGAGCTTTTTATTTAAAAATTTCTTCTTTTTATTTAAGCATTTCTTAAATCACAAGGAATTTATGAAAAAATATTGACAAAAATCTATATTTAATTTCTAATAATTTTAATACTTCAATAAAAAATTTTACGAGTTGAAGTTGAGAACCGCTAACATGATGTAACAATAGCTGACGTAATGTCGCGTAACATTTCGTCATGTACATATCGGAAATTTGTCAATTTAAATGGATATTCGCTACTGCACGTTTTGCAATGTATCAGCACATACCAAGCATCAAAATATGTATATACATATACAGAATATATACAAACATATACAAACATACATACATATATATATGTGTGTGTGTACATATATACTATATGTCCATATAATACATATATACATATATACATATATGTATTTAATAATTATGATTTTGTTTGTATATTCTCAAATAAATTTTTGTCAGTATGTTAGTAGATATCACATTCTTTCTTGTCAATATAAAACTTAAATTGTATAAAGTACTCACCGTGGTGTGATGCCAATATTCAATGATGTCGAGCAAGGTAGTGCTTGGTGCATAGAGGAGGAAGTCCCGCCATTCATCAAAACTGATTTTAAGACTTCCATCTTGGTCCATGCTGTTATATAAATAAATAATATTTCAATGTTTAAGTATATTAATATTATTTTTTTATAATACTATTTAAGAGTAAATATTATTTAATGATAATAATATGTAATATGTAATAATATGATAATAGTATGTAATTTAATATTTAAAATGATAAATCTCATAATATTTGTTAATAATGAAGGTTTATAATATTTTTCTTAACTTTTCGAAACTTTTGAATAACAAATAAAAAAACCATTTTTCTTTCTAAAAACTATAAAACAAATGTGTACATTGCACAATAAATTGTATTTATAACATTAATTTAGAAAACTATTGATAGATAATAGTTAGTTAATAATTATCAATAAGAAAATTACCGTTGCAATAATTTTGTTGCTTCCTCTCGTGCAATTTCTATCCCTAGATCTTTGAAAGCTCTTATCAATTCTTCCAAATCTATCTTGCCTAAAAACAACAAAACATTAATAAAATTGTTTAACCATGTTTATAATTTTTATTATTATATACTGTGAACAGGGAAGTATATAAGCTCTATAACTAATAATACTGTAGCTAATAATATATAATGCACTAATTATAAAATAAATTATTAATTAAACTATCTAAATATGTAAACGTTTTGTGATTTTTTTTGAAATTTTTCAATTCTATATATATCTATACAATATTTCAGAAAATTGATCTTTAATTTATTAAATACTTGCTTACCATCTTTATTTTTATCGAGATGAGAAAACTGCAATCGTAGATTCTTCTCATGTTCACGTACATAGTGTATGAATTCGGCCAAACTGATATCGCCGCTTTTAGTACTGTCTGAGCTGGCCAGAAATTTCTACAAAGATAAAGAAATCATTCTTTAGACATATCCATTCTAATTTAAATGTAGAAAATGCAGATAAGAAAAACAATATATGAAAACCTATACGTATATTTAGGTTTACGTTATATTTGCACGATATTATTTTTAATTAAATTTCAGATTATTTATAATATAATATTTATAATATGACACTGCCTTCTTTAACATTTCTTTAAAAGATACTTTAAATGGTACTATCTGTGTCTGATAGCTTAATTATAAAAAAATATATAATTCTCTTCATCCTTCTCTCTCTCTCTCTCTCTCATTTCAATACTCTACAGAAGATTTATTCTATTATAACTTTAATAAATAAATTTGATCAAAAAATCTCTTACTGAAGATTATTTTGTATCAATGTAATATAATGAGATAGCATTTAAAGCGATATTTTTAAATGTACAGTCGAATTCTCTATTCTTCTAATCTAGGTCAAATCTTCCTTTATGTCAAATCAGTTGTTTTCCTCTAAATTAAAACTCTCTTCTTTCATTATTTTCACATTATTCACATTTTCCATGTGACCACGTTGAGATTTTGAAGTACTGTATGTCGTGTATGTGCTTCTCTCTGCAGCTATATATAAACACATCTATATAAAGCTTTAGATTTGTTTCACAATCAGTTGCACTTTTCATGCACTTTCTCTTTTCACTCTTTTCAAATTCCGAATGCATCTTTTATTTTTAATGCAGAGAAATGCGTCCGATACTAGAAATTCCATTCTTATAGTTATATTTTTCATATCAACTTCTCTCTTTAATCTCTCTTTCCTTCAATAATAGTAATTATAACAAATATTATAATTTAATAAATCATCTAAAGTCTCTATTCGTTTTATTTGCATTTTTGTCAATCCTATTTTTTTTCTCTTTCTCTCTTTCTTTATGTCTCTTTTCCTCTTTAACATGTACCTATTTTATTTCATAGGCAGAAAGTATACGTGTGTGTGTGTGTGTGTGTGTGTGTGTGTGTGCGACTTAAGAGCTAAAGGGATTAGAAATTTAGATATTCATTTTACACACACACACACACGGCCGCGTGCGCGCATGCATATACAATATAAGCAAAAATAATATTCGTCACTGAAACGTAGTGTTCGAAAAAAAGCCAGAATTCCATTTCCATAAAAAACTTTCTCTCAATGGAAGAATATTACAATATATATTTCTTAAGCAACACACACACACACACACATGTATACTGTATTGCGTGTATTATATATTCCATATAATATATAAATGTAAAAAAGGCATATATATATAAAAAGCATGTAGGAGAGAGATATGCGCAAATACCTGGGCATATTGCGTGTGTACGCCGACCTCGCGTAGCGCTCGGGACAAATCGAGCACGTCGATGCGACCGTTGCCGTCGAGGTCGAGCGTCTGGAACAGCCGCTCCAACCGTTCCTCGTCCTGGGCCGGCAGCTCGTGCAGGTAGTGCGCCGGCGGCGGCATCGCAACCACGCGCGCCGCCGGCGACGCGCTCACGCGCGCACCGCCGCCGTTCCCCGGCATATTTACCTACGTACCTACCTACCTGGTTACGCGCGACGCTACGCTACGCACTACGCGAAAACCAGATAAGACGAAGGGAAGCACCTCGCAATAGCGGAGCGAAGCCGTGTCGTGCCGCAAAGCGTATGTATGCGCGCGTATGGGTATGTGTGTGCGAGAGAGCGCGTACATGTCTACGGACATCGCGCGCACGCATCAACCGCACTGCTGCTGGAAGGTGCGCGCGCGCGCGCGCAATACGACGCCGATGCTGACAGTTCCTGCGATTGAGCGCCGTACTGTCAGAAAGCTCTGGCTCTGCATGGCTGACAGATAACCGGGTGGGAGCATTGTTGCCATGCGGTTTGTCCCGAATAGACGTAAGGGGGGAACGTTTTATGTCATATTGACAGTTGTGTTCGAAGATTTACCTCTCGAAATAGTCGACCAATCGGGACAATGGAATTTTTCACTCTTTTTATTCTGATTGGTCGATCGAACGTTACTCTATCCAGGGAGATTTTCGAACGTACACTTGAAATAGCGTCATGGAACGGTGTACGGCGGAACTATCGAGCAACTTTCTCGTGTCGTCGCGTTCACATGTTGATAATCTATGGTGTGATAAAGGTTGATTAGAGAACCGAATCGCGCAAAACTGCGCGAGAAGAGTGATGCGCAAAAAGTGTATTTCGATGTGATGTTTCGCTGTAACGAGGTGGGTGATGATGCTAACGGTGGATTTTATATCGTCGATTAATTTACGGTGTTCCCCGGATTCCGAAACTCGCTGTCATGATATTGAGGACATTGCGATAGAGGCAGGTTTTCGTCAGCAACACGATAATGCGATTGTTTTGTCGAATTTTTCTTACAAATTCTCAGAAATTCTTGTGATTATTCTCTACAATATGCAGAAATAATCGATCTATTGGGTCAGGATGATCTCGCCGTATCGCGACGTGATCACACGATCTAGAGATAAAATATGGTTATGAAGTAGAATTTTATAGTTTGTTCTCCCTATAACTGCACTTTCTTATACTCTTACCATTACTCTTACACTTTCCCTCTACGTTCTGTATACTTTACATAAATTATATACCTTTAGAATCAACATTACCTACAACTTTCTACATTTTCTCATTTATATTTTATCTACACTTTCCACGCTTTTCTATTCTGTTCATGAATTTCATATCGATCACAATATAAAATTCATAATCACAAACAAAATGATATTTTTTTCTCATTATGATGCAATAATTATTTTAAAAATAACATACATTTATACAAAATATTTACTGTTTATTATTAGACAATTTTTAAATACTGATAAAAAAACCACACAATTGCTTGACTGAATAGACTTTTCTATTTATACTGTCAAATAAACCATCTGCTAAAACATGAAATGATAGTAAAACTTATTGTTTGAGATGTAATATTACACATTACAAACAAATCATGAGGATGTAAGTGTTATAAAACATTTCTTAAAATTTTTGAAATATTAGTGAATTTTGCGAGTAACTATATATTTCTCTTTCTTTTTAAATATATATAAATTTGTATTTATCTTTTCTCTACAGAATGCCGATACAGGCACCACAGTGGACTGAATTCCTGTCATGTCCAATCTGCTGTCATGACTTTGACACAACCATACGGAGTCCTATATCGCTCGGTTGTGGTCATACAATATGTCGCGCTTGTCTCGCCAATCTGCATCGCAAGCAGTGCCCTTTCGATCAGGTATGTCAATATCATCAATAATAATGTATATATGTGTTTGTTTGTATTGTGTATATATTTTATATATATACACAATATTATTTCATTAATTGTTTAATTATCTTCTTCCTTTTGCACAGAGTGTTATCAACACGGATGTCGAGAGATTACCAGTAAACGAAGCACTGTTGCAATTGTTAGGCAATCCGATTTCTACTGTTGTTTCATCAGCATCCGTGACAAATCAGCAGCAGAATTATCAGAAGTTGTTGCCGATTGATCAACATACCAACTATCTGCGGGCCAAGAGTTGCATCGAGGAGCTCGCACTTTACCTCAAACCATGCCAGACCACTAGCACTGCAGGCATGTACAATACCTATATCACTTTTAAATATCAAATATAAATAGTATTAATATTATAAGCATTTTAAAATAAAAATTAAACTAAAGTTTATTATATATGTAAGAAATTAAATATAATATAATATTATATACTGTTATAGTAAAGATTGTTTTAGATTATTGCATTTTCTTGTAAAGTATATAGTAGCTTGTTAATAATATTTATATTATATTGTAAACGTATAAATCGTCGTAATAATTGATATTATTATATAAATTATGAAATTATTTGATATATGTAGGTATTGGAGGCGGGGGCGGAGGGCTAGTGTCCCGACCAATGCAACGTAAACTGGTGACACTGCTAGGCTGTCAGTTAGTGGAACCAGAGGGTAGAGCGCGCGCTCTGCGCGCTGCCCGCAGCCTCGGCGAACGCACTGTTACCGAACTCATACTACAGCATCAAAACCCTCAACAGCTTAGTGCCAATCTCTGGGCGGCTGTGCGTGCTCGCGGTTGCCAATTTCTTGGACCAGGTAAATTTTATTTGTAGAGAATGAAAGACGCAAATACGAACAAGCTATATCTTTTTTACTTATATTTTTATACATATCGATATCTTCAGTTATTCTGGATTTTAAAAATAATTTAAAAATATTATGTATCTTTTATATTTAAATATATCTTAAAATCTTCTTTCTTTCTACAATTACCTTCTTCTTTCTCGTTATTTTTAGCAATGCAAGAAGAGGTACTGAAGCTTGTGCTGTTAGCATTGGAGGATGGTTCAGCACTATCGCGCAAAGTATTAGTGATGTTTGTGGTACAGCGTTTGGAACCACACTTTCCACAAGCCAGCAAGACTAGCATTGGCCATGTGGTGCAGCTTTTGTATCGGGCGAGTTGTTTTAAGGTAATATAGAGTAACAATCACAAAAGTACTGAACGCTTTTAAACCAAATGTTATACCCCGAAAAAAAAATATATATATATATATTGGAATTATATATTTATATCAATGTTTAAATGACTATTATTGTTATCATTTCTTTGTGTTAACAGGTGTCGAAACGGGAGGGTGATTCATCGCTGATGCAATTAAAGGAAGAGTTTCGAACTTACGAGGCTTTGAGACGCGAGCATGATGCGCAAATTGTACAGATCGCCACAGAAGCGGGACTGCGCATTGCACCCGACCAATGGTCGGCTCTGCTCTATGGCGATACCGCACATAAATCTCATATGCAAAGCATCATTGACAAATTGCAGACACCACAGTCGTTTGCCCAGAGTGTCCAAGAACTTGTGATAGCATTGCAACGTACTCCAGATCCTGGGCAATTGAGTGGTCTCAGACCACAGTTGGAATTGTTGGCCGCCATTGATCCCAGTCCAGGTATGTATATATAATCTCTAAAATTTAAAAAATTTTTCATTAGATGAAAGAGAGAGAGAGAGAAAGGTAGGAAGAGAAACCTTAAAACTCTTGAATATATAATTTTTAGAAACGGAACCACCAAGCTTGGCCGAGTGTCGGGCGGCTCTAGAGGCCGTAAGAATAGTTGTAGCTGCATTGGTGGAGTTTGTGCGACAGCACGGAGGCGGCAGTGCCAGTAGCGGAAATCGAAAATCAGCGGCACAGGATAGCGGAGGCGGCGGGTCTGGCGGGGGTCTGTGTCCGGGTTCGGCAACTGGCAAGTACAAAGTCAGCATGTGCAGAGATTTGGCCCTTCGCGGCACTTGTCCGCGATCTAACAATTGTACATTCGCCCATAGCGACACCGAACTTGATAAGTGAGTCTGTACATCTAATACATTTATTTATTTATATGTACAAAAGAAAGATAAATGATTAAGGATATGAAATATTGAAAGAAAGAATTGATATTCAAATAAATTATAAATAATAGGCATTGTTATCAATTATATATTGAAAGATAAAAATCTTAATATAAAATAATAAAAAAAATATTGAGTAATAGTTAATTTTTTCTCGACTATTTAATGATATTTTTTTATTGCCATACTATTTGCAGATTGCATAAATAATATCCTTAATGATATAAAAGTGTCTCATTGATTTTGTGAATTCTTTTTACATACAGGTACAGATCGAAGAATCGCAAATTGAGTGTCAGAACAAGTTCGAACCAGGTAGAATCAAAGAGTGAGAAGAATAACAAGACCTTTAATAAACAGAATGGCGATTCAACGGCTTATCATTCTGCCAAAACACATGATAGAGAAAGTGAGTATAATGAACATTTATAATTAATATATAATTTTATAAGTGAGAATAAAATATTTGAAGAGAGATACGCACACGCGCGTATATATCATCGAAAAGAAATTTTTTTTTTCTTTATTGTACGCGCGACGATAGATATTGCAAAAAACAAAGTTACACTGACCATAAGATATTTCCTTTGAAGCGGAATAAATTAAATAAAACATAATATGCATATACTGAAATATAATAAATGCCTGTTATTTTATTTGAACTGTTCCAGCGGCCGTGCAGCATCCGACGCCCATTCCGACCAACTTAGAAAGTAACTTGATCGATTCATTTACATCGACCTACATGTTGCCATCTGCATCTCCGCAAAACTTACCGCATCTCGGTCTGTGCTCTGTGAAAGGAGGAGCCATGGTAGACGGCGGGGGATCTCCTGCCATCCAATGTGCAGGGCATTACATAATGTCACCAGGATCCGTCGCCACTGTCGATTACGGGCCTTCCCCGACGACCACGACAAATCTCGGGATGTGGGACACTCCGCAAATCGTACCGGCAAATCATGTAACAAACGACAAAAAAGTGAGAGAAAATTATTTATTTATTATTTTTGTCTAATAAATAATTCTAACATTTAATATAATAAAATACATCAATAAATTTATTTGATGGTAATAAAAAGAAAGATTTGTTAGAATGATAAAGAAAAATTTCTTTGATTTTTATTTTATTGATTTTTAACTAACAATTTCTTACTTATAAGACGGACTTGAGGAGCAAAAACCTTCAATAATAATACATTTTTAAAGTCAAACAGAATAAAAGCCAAGACTAAGACTTTATCATGGCTGACACATATACATTAATTTTAGTAAATAGTTATAACAATTATAATTATATAAATAACTTTAATAAATGATGAACAGAGAGAATAATCTATTAATATTATTAATAATGATATATTTTAATAAGCAATATAATAATAAAGCTATAAAATAATTTTATAGCAACGAACGGCGAAAACTATGTTGGCAATGCTACTGCAACGTAGGATGGAGATTCTAAATCAGCTGGAAACAATTATTGGCAAACAGCAGCAGCAGCAGCAGCAACTAATCTCACCGCAAATGAAAACGGTAGTAAACTAATCATTCTTTCTTTTTTTACATTCAAACCTTTATACACATTAAAGAAAATGTATTTCTTTTATTAAATATTCTTTTTTAAAATATATATCTTTTGTTAAGTTTATAATCTATTTCTCTGTTATGTAACATACATTATTTTATTTTATTCATTATATATTTATTCTATATTTTTCTTTAGAATTATGATCTTCGGCAGGAAGGCGACATGTCGTTGACTACGTCTAATAATTTCTCGATATGGGCCGCCGCGAACAGCCTTCGTTGTTCTTCTGGAACAGACTCGCCACCCTCGGCTTCGCATCTATTTGACGATGATACGCCCTTTGTGCCCTTGTTGGATATGCCTCCCACAGCCTCTTTGCCACCATCCAGCAAACAGGGATCTATCTCGAGACTATCCAAAACTCTGATAAGGTACAATAATAATAATGATATGTATGAATAATATATAAAATTATATCAATAATATATTGCATATATAGTAAAAAACAATTATTAATCTTTTAACTGAAACAAAAGAAGGAGAAAGAATTTGATTTAAATTGGATTAAAAAATGTAGTGATACAATCCACAAAAGATTAGAAAAGAACTTTAAAATTACAATACGATTGGAATAATTTATATAAAATACATATTGTTATAGATTATTATTATTGTTATTGTTAATTGTTATATCTTATATTTTACTATATTAATATTATATTTATTTATTAATATTACATTAATGTTGCTTATATTTGGTTAATAATATTTAATATTACTGATAACATTTTGTGATAATTATATTTTTATAATTTAAAAATAACGTGTAATATTGATAATATTAGAGCTCCCTGTAATGGACCTCTGCAACACTTTGCAAGTTTCTACAACGAAGGGATTGGACCTAGCTCTGCGCAGTCCGCTGCATTCAGGACTCCAAACTCTGTAACTTCCATGTATTATGGCAATCAACGTGAGTGCGAAAATAAGATGTGTGTGTGTGTGTGTGTATGTGTGTTATAAGAATTATATTACATTTATATTATATTTTATATTATATTATATTTAATGATAATTCGACAGATGTGATTTTTATCAGTAGATCATACACACATACATACATATATATTAATATAATTAATAAATTAATATTGCAGCATACGTGACAATTGGCGCGAATGGTGGTATACAGTCCATGACGCCGACAAACCCCGGCGATGGCGGTGGCGGCAGCGGTTTCATGAGTGAAAATTACATCACTCTCGGTCGCAATATCGTTGCACCAGAATCGCTACCGCAATTTTCGAGATCGGAATATATGTCGAAAGAGTGAGTAACATAGAACATATTAGCATATATGTATATATGTGTGTTATTGCATATATGTGTTTTAGTTTGATCCTTGAATCGCAGAAGGTAAAACAGCAACTCAGACATCTCGAGAAGAAACTTAATGACTTAAAGGTAATTCATCGTGCTTCGCATTCTGTAAAACATGAAAAACATTACCTAATTTACACCATATGTGATATAATATATTAAGTTATCTGATACTGAAAATTGAAAAATTCTGATAAATGATAATTTTCTTGGATATTTTTATTAAAGAAAAACTGATATCGTGTTTTAGCCAAAGAATCTGTCATTACAAAATGTAGTAGAAGTAAAATCGCATATGTATTGTTTTCTCTGAAAATATAATCTTTGCTAATATTTGACATCGAAGTTGATATCATTTTCTTCATCATTAATATATTCCTATTCACATATTTTTATTAATATATCTTAGTTGGCGACGCAAGGAGCTACTACTTTTTTCACGGCAGGCGAACGACTGGCACAAGAATTGCAGATGATTGAAGCGGGTATCAGGGCATGCAAAATTGGAGCTGCAATCCATATGGTACTGGTACTAGCACCACTACGTTTCCATGGATCCAGCAATCCTCAAATGATTGGCTGTCAAATCAGGAATACAATCAGGATTATAAAATTGAGGAAGTAAGCTACGTCCATATCATTATATTTGACTTTATTCCAAAATTTATTTAATAAGAGCGCAAAAATAATCCTTATATTTATTAATTTTTATTGAGGATCAAATTTCCGCTTTGTCAATTTTATTACGTTATTTTTCTGTTTTATCAAGTTTTTTTTTAAATTTATGTAAACAATTACAGATTTGATTAAAAATTATATTTTTTAATCGCGCTGTTATGTATCAAAATATTAATTGTGAATCAATCTTGCTTAATAGTGATTATAAATTGATGCATTCAATATATGATTTCCATTAAGAATAATTTCTATATCTATGATTAATTGATTAATCAATGCATAAGCAGGAGGATACGTACGAAGCGGGAATCGCGAACGACATGCGGGAGCTGGAATTGCGATGGGAATTCGAGTTGCGAGAGCAGGAGAAACATTGGTCCAGTGGAGGTGAGGAGGATACTATTACCACCACTACAACCACTACCACCACTTCCAAGAATAAATAATATTTATTTATTCTACTCTATAACATTATATAATCTCTCCTCTTTTTTCCTATTGACATTTTTTTCCTCACGTTCATCTCTCCGGAAACATGTATTTTTGCATGTCTAAATCGATCTCCGTTTATATCTCCGTAAACTAATATTGATAGAAAATAAGAATTTCTTCAATTCGTGAAGGGATATATAAAGTACGCGCAGAGATCTGCGAGAATCTAAACCTCTTCATATATTTTTATTTCAATTAATTTACAATACCATATATGATAAAAATATGGAAATTATATAATTTCCAATAATTTCACATATAATTTCCAAATTAATAATCGTCAATTATATATACACATGTTAAGCACATAAATTTTTGATTGTTGAGATTAAGCAAGATTCGAGAAGTCATATTCGAATGTATGGCTGCGCGCAATCAAAAGAAAATGCCAAAATTGATTAAATTCATATCGTTTATTCAGCCAAATAACTTAATATATTTTCTATTTTTTCAATTAGATCTTTTAAAAAGAAATCTCTTTCATCTACATCTTGGACCTATCTTTTCTTTCTGGTTTAGGGAAGACATAAAAAGATAAGGTAATAAGATTAACGAAGGAGAAATTTATGGGGTTTGTTAAAATTTAGCAATAATATGTAGTCAGTGTTTTATAAACAATGACTCGGTGGAATATGAAAACGTGTAGACAAATATATTAGATAATATATTTAATTATATACGGATCGTATACTCTCCATCGATGATACGATATTATATGCAAATATAATAAACAATACATTCGAAAAGAATGCTGACTGCGCTTGACCTGATCGACAAGGTTACATTATCTCTTGCAATGATGATAATAATAACAACGCGTTATTATATATTACATGCTTATACATATATTGTAGATATATTATATACTACAAAAGAAACCGCGTTCCTTTGGAGGACGTTCTATTTATAGAATTTCTATATTCCGAAAAGAGATGGAAAGAGAAACGAAACCACCCTACCTCGATATATTGACGACGGCTCCTTCTATATAACCATTTTATTTCAAAACATAATTAATTTTTATAATCAAGTCTGAAATCTCCAGAAGCGCGCGAATAAATTTGTGTTTATTATTAAAAAATTAATAAAGCCTGAAATATATTTAATATAATCATAATTATATATATACATGACAAGAGATTAATCTGTTTCAAATTTCCGCGTATAATATAGACACATAGATCTTTTTATATATTTATTATTAAAATTATTTGTAACATTTTATATTTCGGGAAAGGAGGGAGGGGAGTGTGCGAATTGAGGAGCCGTCTCGAAAGAGGAGAGTCTCGTTATCTTTTTTAGTAAATCGTTGCATCCAAATAGTCTCTTTTTGTCTATTTTTACGGAATAACAAAGAGCGATAAAAGAACAGTTCCAGTTTTAGTGGAAGCAACATTTTTTTTTATATATATATATAGATGAGATCTCTTATCGACTTTATCTTCTAAGCTTTCAGAACGAACTATATGTTCGAATAGAAGTTATCGCTTTTTCTTTTTTTTTCTATTAAAAGAATTATCGATAATTCGAGTTACTTTTTTTTTAGCGGTAGTATATATGCATACATACATATGCATACACGAGGACAGGAATACCACCTTAACACATGAATTTATGCACATATCGGAGCATATATGCATTTTCCATATATGCCCTGACATGTATTTAAATTCATTGTTAAAGCATTTCTGTTGCCGAGTATACATATGTTTATATAGCATAAAATTAATGCGTTTTGTGTTCTTTTATAAATTATTGGATTATTAATTGAGTTACTATTCTTCCAAAAAAAGAAAAATATGCTAAATGAAATCGGGAAATTAATACATTATCTTTTTTCTTAAATTTTATACGAAATAAATTTTTATACCCATTTATTTTGCAAATTGTATGACAAAAAAAATAGATCCGATACTAATTTTTAGAAAAATAGGAAGATCGTGAAAAATTAACGCGCATTAATCTTTTTTCTAAATTTTGGATAAAATTAAAATTATATATATTATTTTATATTTTAATTTTTGATACTTCATAAAAAGTGCAAAATAAAATAAAAAAATAAACGTATTAATTTTTTGCACACATATATCTTTTTTTTGAAACATGTAAGAATTTCACATAGTGCTAATTGTGTGGCAATAATTGAATCGTTTAAAAAAATGAAGAAATTATATTGATATTTTGTAATTTGATTGATAATGTTTCTGTTATTAATTAAATTTTTATTATTTGACTTCTTATTAATTGTTAACTTTTAATTGAAATTAACATATATATATATATATATACGTAAATTAGATAATAAGCAAGGGATATGTGGGTAAAATTCTTATTATAATAAGATGGAAGAAAGTTTCTTTTCTCGGTCATATTATTTATTCTGGGGCATTTTATATAGCCAGATCTTATATATATATATATTTTTTTTTATCTTGCTATTTATGTGCGGTATATAATAATTATGTAACGGATGGTGTTATGAAAAATTTCATTAAAGGGTTTTTTCTTCAATAATAAGAACTAAATTTATTCTCTTGAATAAGATTTCTTCAATTATTTTCTCTAACAGAGATATATATTTTTAACAGAAATATATACAAAAAGATAAATAAAATAATATTTATATCTCTTTTAAAGAACGTGATTTTAAAAATTAATATTTTCTTATTTAAGAGATAATTTTATTTCTTGAAAAAGAAAATTATATTTTTCATTGAAAGAGAAATTATTAAAAACATTTTTGTGGTAGATCACTGCTAAAAATTAAAAGAATCTCATTTAGGGGAAAATAACATTTTATATTTACACATATACATATATGTATGTATATATATGTATATGTACAAGAGCCACCCTTGTCATGTAATGTATGGCAGGGATTATCCGTTATGTATATATATATATAAGAATCATACCGCCAACTTCCTTTATTCTTTCTTTTTTACTATTGTTCTCTATATATAGGAAAAATTTGTTATAAAAAAAGAAATAGAGAAAAAATGAAGAGAGGGCTGTGTATAAAACCGAGGTTCGCAAAATTATCGAGAACTGATAATGAAAATAATTCTTATGCTTATACATTATTCGATAATTAATTTTATTAATTATTAAGATGTAAAATTCAATTACATTTTTATAACATCTTATTTCTTATCTCATCTCTCTCTTTTTATTACATTTTATAATGAAATTAATTTACTAAGTTTATTAAATAAATATAGTAATAAAATTTGAAACCATAATTAATATAAGAAGCTATTCGCTAAGAATTATTCCAATGCACAAAAGTGATCTCTCTTACACTTGTTAATTTCTTTAAAGAGTCATAGGGGAGAGGAAATAAATTTAAATTCTATCGAAATTTTGCGGATCCTCCATGTGTAAAGAAAAAAAAATAAAAAAAAAGAAGGAAATACATCGGGAAGTAACGAGTGCAACGCGCGATGCTGTGTTTGTGCAGAATGTGCTTCTGATTTAATGTAATATTGCATGTTAAACATGTCGCCAGCTCTACCACTGTGTATGTACAGTTGAGATACATACGTGTCGATGATGGTACAATATGATTCTATTTGATATATTAACTTGTTCTTTATTTGAACATTATAATAATGCGATATTATATAGATAGCGATATCACATATCGGGATATATGACGATATATTATAGTCACTCAATGCACACTTGCCACTTATCAGTACAACAGAGACAAATTTATTCGCCAGCGGTAAATCCGTCGCTCCTTTCATGCTAATAATTATATAATTGCGTATAATATAATTATATTAAATCATATTATATTATATAATCATATAATATAATTTAATAATAGTTATGCGAATAATGACAAATCACAACATTGTAACAAAAACTCATGGCAGAAATTTATAATTAATGTTAAGAAAAATTTATAATTAATTAATGTATACTCCATCCCATGAGAGAGGGAATAATTTCAATTATCATCTGTCAAATTTGTCTATAGAGAAACTGAGACTAATTCAATAACAATAGATACTGAATGTGATGAGTAGCTATGCCTAGATATTGATAGATATATGACTTATATTTAAAATGCATCATGTGTATTCGCTATTGAATATATTAAAGAAAAAGACTCCTATTTTTATCCATTTCACTATCAAATGTGCAGATCGAAATCATTTTCTCATGGGATAGTGTATACACTCTTATAAAATTATAATTAATTATAATAAATAATTAAAGCGTTAAATAAAATTTTACTATAGAAATAAAATTTTATTCTACTGTAATGGGTTATTTTAAACGTATTTAATGAAGTAATTATAATAATAAAAGCACACTTTTGAGAGAAAGAAAAACGAAAATTAATTATTATGTTGTGTTATGAGATATTTAATAATGATTGGGAGAAAAAATGTTGTTTTGTAAAAATTTTATAATTAAGTATAATAAAATAATGTAACACATTTCTCTCTTTTATACTTTACTATCAAATTATTTACTATGAAAAAATTCCATGTATGTACATGCTTATGAATACACGCACTCTTCATGTATTTTTCAACGACTGTGTACTGTAAGTGTGAAAGTGTAACGTATAAATATATTTATTTACTCAATATAATATTATTGTGTAGTAATATTTTCCCTACTTATGATTTCTAAAGTAATTTTCCTTATATATATTTAAATATTTTCAATGTAATGTATGTTTTTCAGATGGAAAATTTAAGCGAGTTGTACTCTTCAGTTTTTATTAATAAACAAGATTTTCTTCTCCACTAAATTGATTTGAATCTCCGCTGAGTAAATATTTATTTGAATATTTGAAATGCAAACTTTGAATTTGCGCCAAACGAAAGTTTTTCTCTATTACGATATGCATATATATATATATATATATATATTGTCGATAATGCAATATCTTTATAATAAATTAAATAAACCGCGTACATACATATGCTAGTTTTGCTATTCATAGAGTGCGTTCAGAAATCTTACCCATAGAATAAAATAGCATTTAATTGACCAATCAAAAGGAGCAAAAAATTCTTTGTTCTGATTGGTCAATTAAGTGCAACTCTACTCCGAGTAGAATTTGTGAACGCATCCTTAATCATATCTTTTAGCACCTTTCAGCATAACTTTGCCGTGAGACACAATTGTATCTCTAATCTCTATATATCTTATATTTCTAGATATCTATATTTTTTATATCTCTATTAATTCTCTTATCTCTGTTGATTTACTTATTTGCAGAGTCTATAATATATGTTACGTGAACTATAGATTTCCAGGCAATCTATGCGCTCAATGCGTGAAACGGAACGCACCCAATATAACTTGCATACTTATCCACATAAAACCAAAGTCCATATTAAATAATTCGCTAGTCATCATTTATTTCAATCTTGATCTTTAATTTAGAATTACTTGTGGAATTATTCAGAACATCTTGGAGGAGCACGGAGTAAACTTGATCGTGATCAGTAACCGGAGCCAATTGTTGTAAACAATCATCAATATTGATCTTTTTTAAAAGAATAATTGAGATTGAAGATGTTGAAGGTACTGTTTAAACGATGTTTATACACTTTTATTTCTTATAACAAAATTTAATAGTTATTTTATATATGTGTCTTTGTAGATAATACATTACTATATTATTATTTTAATATTGTTGTTTCATATACGATTATATTATTTAATATATATGATAAAACTCACGAAAAGTAAACATTATTTCTTTCACTCATAAAACTTATGATGTAATATGTTACATCCTAGTTGTGTGTGAGATTATTTCTCTTATCACTCGATTTTGACGTAATTATTATTATCATTTATTTAATAACTGTATGGATGATTGTTTATCAATAAGTGTAAATTGTTTTTTTAATTGCAGTAATATACATAGGTTTGATACAATATATTATCACGTATTTTTCCTTCTTGGCCTTACATGTCTATCAAACTCAAGTATTTTTTGTTCCATTGTATTCTGAATTTGTAAAATAAATATATATTCATTGACAACGAAAAAAATACAAGAAAAAAAAAAAAAAAAAAAAAAAAAAACAGAGATAAAGAATGCAATTTTTTTGATGCTCGATGTAAATGTCTAATTATTTCAACTATATTTTTTGCACATAATAATATTTAAATATTGAAAGAAAATAGGAAAAATGCAAAAAGTACAGAGTTGAAATTAAATATTTGCTTATTTTTTACTTTAAACATTTAAACACAATACTAATTCCTGAGATAATCAATCAATATATTGAAGCTGTTCTATAATGCCTGTTTCATTTAAATACTGATGTGAATCCGGTGTTTTTTTACAGGGCACTGTAGCTTTGGTGACTGGTGGTGCCTCCGGATTGGGCCGTGGTACTGTAGAACGATTTATCAAGCAAGGGGCAAAGGCAGTTATTGCTGATTTGCCTGCTTCAAAAGGCAAAACTGTAGCCGAAGAGCTAGGAGAGAATGCATTATTTGCACCTGTGGATGTAAGTATAACAAGTTTATTAATATAATCATTGTAATCTCATCATTTTTAAGAAAGCATATTTTGCAATATGTAATTTGCAATCTGTCATATCAGTTTGTTTATCAGGGATAACTTTGCTTTTCAGAATAATAATCATTTGCTTATTATTTGCTTTTTCCCAAATAATAATTATTATTTAAAACATTAAATTATTTAAGTTGTTATACAAATTGCAACAATTTCTTATTATATATTCTTTTTCCTCATTATTATATTTTTATATTACCATATTACCTCTTATCATATCTCTATTTTATATTTTAAAACATGATTTCTCTCAGGTAACTTCGGAATCAGATGTCCAAGCTGCCCTCGATCTTACAAAACAAAAATTCGGCAAGCTCGATGTCCTAGTTAATGCCGCTGGCATCGCCATTGCCTTCAAGACCTACAACAGCAATAAAAAACTCCCTCACAAACTGGAGGACTTTTCTAAAGTAATCCAAGTCAACACTGTTGGTACTTTCAATGCCATACGTCTTTCTGTTGGTCTGATGATTGAGAATACCCCTAATCAAGATGGTCAAAAAGGTGTAATTGTTAATACTGCAAGTGTTGCAGCATTTGATGGCCAAATGGGTCAAGCTGCTTATTCTGCTTCGAAAGGAGCAGTTGTAGGTATTGTATTTCATTCTTATTATCTTATTTATATTTATTTTCTCTTTCTGTTTCATATTTTTGGCATGCCACTACTTGCGCATGTTCACTTTTCTCTTATCTTAATCTATAAAAACTTTGTTTTTCTATGTTATCTTTGTATTCTTCATCTAGTGCTTTTTTATTTTTATATAGGAATGACTTTACCAATCGCACGCGACCTTTCCAAAGACGGAATTCGTGTCGTGACAATTGCTCCAGGACTTTTTGACACTCCATTATTGATGGCATTGCCAGAAAAGGTGCGATCTTTTCTAGCAAAAAGCGTGCCCTTCCCTCAAAGATTAGGGAATCCTGAAGAGTATGCAATGTTGGTGCAGCAGATAGTGGAAAATCCGCTACTGAATGGGGAGACAATTAGATTGGATGGTGCTCTGAGAATGCAAGCTTAAAAACTCATCAGTCTTCCATATTGATGGGATGAAATCATTAACAAATCTTTTTGTGTTTCTATTTTATATATATATACACATATAAAAGTTCAAGTTTTCTACAAACTTTCATTTTATCTTTGTTATTTTTTATTTCAGATCCTCTCCTCTCCTCTTCCCTTAAAATTTTTTAGATTGTGGGATTTATCGCAATAATTGATATATGTATAAAGAGCTATAAATAATAGGCTGTATTTTGTAAATAATAATAATACTTTGAAACATTTATAAAAGATTGAAATAAAATCATTTTTTTACATGCGATGTAATCTTTTATGTTTGTGTATGTGTGTGTGTGTGTGTATAATTACAATTTACTTTTTAAATATATATATAATTTTAATTTTAATTTAATTATAATCTTATATTCTTTTAAAATTTCGATTTATTTTTTGGATTTATA